CACCTGCACGGTACTGAGCTCAGAAGCCCGCTTCGGCCAAGCTACCCCTTCAGACGGGTCTCACCCCCAGCCTGATAGCCCTCCACAGGTCCTCGCACCCCTCCCCTTTCCGGGGCCTCCTCGCTCCAATACCTTGGCCTGTAGGCCCATACACAAGCGCTCGTGGTGCCGGTAGCGAACCAAGCCGGGGGCGGCAGCGCGCAGGGAGCGCAGAAACTGGAGGACTTGAGGGAAATGCTCCACGCAGCGTCCGCGCACCACTCGCCAGCTGGCTGCGGCGGCGAAGCGCCAAGTGGCGGGACCGGCCCCCTTGGGGCTGGCCATGATCGGCGGGGTACGCCCCCGGGAGGCTTCTAAACCCTTCCCTAGGGACGGGGTTTCCGGCACCTCTTGGAGTCTCGGGTTTTTCGTTCCGCGCTGGATACTTTGCGATCTTCCTCCGTCCTTTCCATAGATCACTAGAGGTATGGTGTCTCCTCCTGGCTCGGCGTGGACCCTGGATGGAGAAGCTAACAGTCCGCCAAGGAGGTAGATCGCTCAACTTCAAAAGCTGCCGCTGTCTGGAATTCCAGAGACCTTACTTCCGGCTCTGAGACCTCTTTCCCTCGCCCTGGAAGAGGTCGGCAAGAGAGAGCCAATGGGCGGCCCGAGGGAGAGAAATGTTCTGTGACGTCATAAGATGGGGACGGGCTGGTGGAGGGCGCTCTTCACGCCTGAAGTCTCGGTGGTAGATGGGTGCGGATTTGGGGCTGTGTGTTCTCCGATCTTTGTAATCTTTGCCTTCTTGAGAACTGCAAAAAAGTTACTTGACTCTGGAGACTCGACTCGTAATCCGTAAATTGGGGGTCGTGCTGCCTGCCTTTGCCGTCACCTCGGTGTGTTGAAATAGGGTTCCTTAAATCCTGGTCGTGGAAGCCTTTCCCCTGAATCGCGCTACTTCAGAGTTCGACGTTTTCTTTCGAGAAACAGAAGGGGGCGCTCACCTATAAAAAATAAAATACATTCAGAGCTGGCGTGATGTTCAGTAGCACAGGACTTGCCTAGCAGGAGAGAAGCCCTGGGTGTGATCCCCAGCGTCACGAAGGGATGAAGGAATGTGTGAATGAAATAAACAAACATTAGAAAATTTGGAGCCGGGCGTGGTGTTGCACGCCTGAAATCCCAGCTACCCTAAAGGTTGAGGCAGGATCCTGGCAAGGTCGAAGTTAGCCTGGCAACTGTTTCTGTTTTGTCCCAAAATAGAAAAAACAAAACCAAAAAGCCCGGGGACAAACAAACAACGGGTGGGGTGGGGATGTAGCTCATTGGAGGAACTTTGGGATTGAATTCTTAGTACTAACCAAAAGAACCTGGAGGGGCTGGGGATTTAGGTCAGCGGCACAGCGCCTGTCTGGCAAATGTGACGTCGTGAGTTCGATTCCCGTACGGGGGCGAGGGGGGGGGGAGATAAAGAAAAAAGGCATCACATTGTTAGCCTTCCTTTCTCTGGGTAGTGGTAGTACAGGTACTTTTTGGTGGTTTTCTGTGTTATCTCTTTCCTGCCTCACATAGTTGTTAATTACATTTTTCCAGGGATGTTGGCGCACATCTGTGATCCCAGTAGTGAGTTGACCTGAAGCAGGAGAATCAGAAGTTAGAGTTCAGCCGGGCCACTTTTAGATACTGTACCTGGTCTGAAGATAAGATAAAAGTGCTGGGGTCCCCAGTACCGCAAGAAAACATGAATAAATAAATAATAACAATTTAAAATATTTTCCTTTTTCAAATATATGCTTTGTGCACAGCTATAAGCAAACTGTTTTACTATCATCTTATTCCAGTATCTCCCGCTCATTCCATTACCCAGCACCGCACATTGTGTACTGTGTTGATGGATTTAAGTACCTGCCTTGACTACATTATGAAGACAATGAAACTGCACAGTCTTTTGGGCCATTTCTTCCACTTCTAGACCTACTGTCTCCACCCTGAGATAAGTCTTCTGAGATGAGCCACACATTTAATTGGCGGTGGGACCCCTAGTCCAAAAGTACCATAAGTTGGACATGTGTGAAATTCTAGTTATTTTACATAATTCCTTCACTTACTGTTCAACGTTTTTCCTCCTTTGAGTAGATCTGAGTTTCTGATCTGTGTCATTTTCATTCTTTCTAAAGAGTTCCTTCTAACATGCCTGGCAGGAGAAGTCTGCTCATGACAAATTTCGTCAGTTTTTGTTGAGAACGTGTTTATTTCTTTTCCTTTGAAGGGCACTTTTGCTGAACACTAGAATACTAGATTTGCCTCTTCAACTCACTATTTCATGCCACTTCCTTCTTGTCTGAATGCTGTCTGAATGCATGTTAATATAAATCTTTGCCCCTCTGTTGAACACTTTTCCTACCCTACCTCTTCCTTCTCTTCAATTTAATTTGTCTTTGATCATCAGCCGTTGGAATATGATACACCAATGTGCTGCTTTTTCTGTGTTTATTTGGTATCTGTCATGTTTGCTATTCTTTGAGTTTTCTGTACCTGTGTTTGGTAGTCCTCATTAGTTTGGGGAAATTCTTTTGGGGGGGGTAGGGACAGGGTCTTGCTGTGTAGTCCAGGCTGGCCTTGAACTCACTACGTAGCCCAGGCTGGCCTTGAAGTCACAGCACTCCTGCCTCAGCCTCCTGAGTACTGGGGTTACAGGTATGTGCCACCTTTCTTTTCTTTTCTCAGACAGGATCTCACTGTGTAATTCAGGTTGGCATTGAACTCGAGGAAGTCCTCTTTTCTCAGCACCCCCATGCATGTGCCACCACTTCCAGTCAGTTTAAGGAAATTCTAGTCATTGTTGCTTCACATACTTCTGCTGTTCTTTTCTTCTTTATCTGTGGTTCTTGTTATGGGTGTGCTACACCTTTTGTAATGGTTCGGTAGTTCTTGGCTATTCTGTTCTTTTTCCTCTTTGCATTTCAGTTTTGGAGATCTCTATTTACATTTCTTCAAATGATTCTCCCTTCAGCCTGGTTCAGTCTGTTCATGCCTGGCACTCATTAGGCAGTCTTCCTCTGTTTCAGCGTTTTTCATTTTCAGTGTTTTCTGTAGTTCTTTCTTAGAATTTCCAATTCTGTCTTTATTTCTCACCTGTTCTTTTTCTGTGGCAGAAGTACACATTTAATCTTTTTATTTATCTTATAAAACAGGACAAGTGCATTTTCGAAGTGCTTCTGTATCCACTGCAGCCATTCCCCCACAACACTAGGCAGGCAGAGAGAGCAGGAATCTTACAAGGAAACTGAAGTTCCAGAAATTAAATGATTGACTTAATTAGCAGCAGAACCAGACATGGGGCTAATTCTACTGATTCTTCATGTTGCCATAAGTAACACATCTTCTCAAATAGTTAGTGGGGCAGGAGGACGAGGGCACCGAGCAGGTGGTTAATGAATACCTGTGGGTGGCAAGATCACCACGGGGGTGTAGGAAGCTCGCAGAGCCTTCTCCCAGGTGTGTGGTGGCATTTGTAAGACCTGAGATCTTGAGAGGTGAATCAGAACTGCAACAGGACAAGGGCTGAAAAATCTTCGTGTAATGGGAGTTTGCAGGTGGTTGTTGGCAAACATGACTCACAGGTCTTAATTCTGGAAAGGATCATCGGTGCATGGAATCACTGCGTCAATTGTCAAGTGAGAGCTAATGAGGTAACAGCTTCTACCGAGATGGTTACCATTCTGGGCCTATGTACCAGGCTTTTAGTTTCTGTCTCCTGTGATGCCTTGCTCTGACCTACAAGTCTGAGACAGGAAGAGCACTTTTTGGATTCTTGTGTCTGTAAAGCCTGAGGTTCTGCCAAGGGTAGTGGTGTACACCTGCAATCCCCAAGTGCTAAGGCAGGAGGATCCCAAGTTCAAGCCCAGCTGAGGCAATTTAGCAACTTACTGAGACCCTGTCTCAATTTGTAAAAAATAAAAAGGGTTGGAGTATGGCTCAGTGTGAAGGCCTTGGGTTCAATCCACAGAACTTCAAAGAAAAAAAAAAGAAAGAAAAGAAAAAAGCTGAGGTTATGGTGCAATGGCAAGCAGAAAACCTGAAACAACACCCAGGATTTCGATGCAAATTTAATTAATGTTGGACAGGCACTGTCAGGGAATCAATTGTCCCTCAAAATGTCAGGCTCCAAAGGCCCAGGGAGGGAGGTTTTTATGGGGTTGCAAAGGTGAGAGGCACTTGGCTGCCTTTGATTCATTCTTACAAGGTGCATCCTACTGACCAGCAAGGCATCACAGTGACTAGCTGTTTCTAAGTGTCAAACAAACAGAACTGCAACATGAACTGTTGCCCAAGCAACTAAGAAGCTGAAGTATATTGGCTGGGAGTGCCATTTTCGGTTACAGTGGCAGGCACAGTGGCACAGGCTTATAATACCAGCTACTCAGGAGGCTGAGGCAGGAAGATCACAAATTCATGGCCAGATAGGGCAACTTAGGGACACTGTCTCAAAAAAAATATAAAGAGTTGGGGAGCAGCTCAGTGGCAGAGCATTTGCCTAGTGCAAGACCCTAGATTCAATCCCAGTATCACACACACAAAAAAACCCAACCCAAACCAAAAAACAGGAAAGACAGCTGAGGTCCCTTCTCCCTAACTCACTGGTGAAAGCGTATTGGGAAAGCTAATGCTTGCTGTATGTGTTTCTTGGCAAACACTGGACTCTGCCTCAGCCCTTATCTTGTATTAGACACTTATCTCTTCAGTTGAGGACAAGAATCCTCAGCTGCTTCATTATCAGGGCCCAGAAACCTTGATGCTGTCCAGTTTCTCCTCTTTGTAGACCAGGATGTTCTCCATCGGTTTCCTTTTGGCCTCATTTTTTTAATCTCAATTTTCCATTAAGTCTCTGGAGCTTGTGATTTTCTCTATAAAACTTCCTCTGTGAAGTGGGGTCCACAGCAGCCCATTTTTTGAGTTTCCTCCTGTCTCTCAGCAGCTGTCTCTCTCATAAATATTTCCTACTCTTAACCTCTGCTGTTGCTTAAATTCATTTTTTGATTTTGGGGAACAGGAGCTCAGTGTATATGACATCGCCCTGGGCCCTAGAGGAGGAGTCTACTTGCAGCCTTCCTGCCTCAGCCTCCGTGCACACACTGTGCACCACTCTCCTGGAGACCACAGCATGGAGGCCTGCACTGTCCCCATGGTAGGTCTCCTCGGAAGTGTTTCAGAGGAGCCAGTGCCAGCAGAGAGCCTGCCCTCAGAGCCACTCCTCCACAGCAGCCATGGAGCTGTTCACATGCTCTTGTATGTTCTCCCCTTTTCCTTTAGAGCCCATCGCATCATGATCATAGGGTTGATGGGTTTATTGGTTGATT